CAAAGCCTTGGGAACCTGCACCCATGTGGGAGATCTCCTGGCCTTCTGTCATGGGGCGGAAGAAACTCCTGGCTCCTAGGATCAGACAAGTCTACCTTTGACCGTTGCAGCAATTGAAGAGTGAACAAGCAGACAGAATATCTACCGCGCCCTTTCTTTGTTTATCTCTGTCAAATAAAATAAATCTTTTTAAAAAGTAAAGCTCAAAGAAAAATGGGTTTAAGAAATAAATATATATATTTTTGGAAATAATTTGGAATCCATGGGTCTGGAGTGATGACGTAGTGGCTAAATCCTTGCTTTGCATGTACCAGGATCCCATGTGGGCACCAACTGGTTCATGTCCTGGCTGCCCCGCTTCCCATCCAGCTCCCTGCCTGTGGCCTGGGAAAGCAGTCAAGGACGGCCCAAAGCTTTGGGATCCTGAACCTGGGTGGGGGACCTAGAGGAAGCTCCTGGTTTTGGATTGGCTCAGGTCTGGTCTGTGATGGCTATTTGAGGAGTTAACCAGATCTTTCTATATCTCCTTCTCTCTATAACTCTCTGATAAAAATAAATAAATCCTAAAAAAAGAAAGCTGAGTTTCAGTTTCTCTCCCTGTGACATGGGTGATGTTAGCTCCCTTATAGTGCTAGAGGCAGGGTTTATTTAGCTGATAACATTACAGTAATTTCAAGAGCCAATGTTACCGGAATTTTTTCTTTGGGCGGGCATCATTCTGAAAGCTGTCCCAGAACCGTTGAATCCTTAAGACAAGCTGGTCATCTTGATAGCAATCTTCATGTGACTTCCATTTTGTGTATGAGAAAAACAGGATAAGTGACTTGGGTGTGGTCTCCCAACAAGGACCAGCAGAGGCAGGCTTTGAACCCCCCAGTGGCTGTTGTGGCCTTGGAAGCCCCCGGGGGTCCTGTTTACTGAGCCTATTATCTGGCCTAATGTCCAGGACTGCTCTGCACGCCTGGTGCTGTGGTCTTCCTCCCTCCTCTTTGCATTGTAGCTGCCAGTTAGGAGCCCAGAAAAGTACACTCCCCAGCAGGAATGCATGATGGCAGCGCTTGGCGCCGTGCCTTTGGCAGCCCTGCCTGGGTGACGTCTGCCTTCTCCCACTCCGTGGCTAACACAAGGACTTATGTTCCCTCACAAGGACTTACTTGCCCAGCTTCTGAGAAGCTGAAGCTCCTTGCTCAGGACCAGTGTGTGTCTGAGCCTTCTTCACCTCCGTGGTCCCCAGGGACCTTGAGAAAGTAGAGCTGGGCTCAGTAACCCTTGTGCCTCACCCTGTCTTCCAGTTCCTTCTTGTCTTGTCCTGAAATCAGCAGTCCTTGCAAGGGGCCAACCCAGACCTGGCCTACCTGCAGTGAATCCCTCTCCTGAATACTTGACGCTTACGGATGAATCTTCAACTCCAACTTGCCATCCAATGAAACCCCACAGAAAGTCTCAACTCAGCTTTTGAGGTTGGCACTGTGGTACAGTGCGATTTTACTTATTGCAGTTGGTACACAACTCTTTGCTTGCAGTCACTTGTGCCACTCCCTCCAGCGAGTTCCAGGTCTGGGTTCTTATGTTAGATTTCCATCAAGAACTCTGTAGCCCCAGCTCCTGGCTCACCATTCTGCACCATTCTGCGTACTGAGGCTGCGCCATTGTCTCTGCAACCTTTCTCGCACTTCTGGTTGGAGCAGATCTCAGGAATCGGGAGACACCAGGTGTCCTATATAATTAGGTTGTAGGTGGCACTGATCTTGCCAGAACCTGTTGGATGTTAGGTCTGGGTGCCACACGAACCTGTTTTGACTCGTACAATGCCACAGTTGGTATTATTTTCCTGCAGGACCAGTGCAATCCACGGAACTCAGTGAGTTCTCACAAGCTCAGCACATGCGCAGTTCACTGTTGTCCCCTGCAGGGCTAAAGCTTTTGCCACAGTGTGCAAAATGGCGCCTGATGTACCACTACTACAGTTCTTGATCTGCTGGCCGTCAGATCTGAGGGCTACCCAGACCTGTCTTGGGTGGAACCTGTAGCGTTCCACGTTGATGCAGTTCACTGAGTCAGAAATGAGTTCACTCCCAGCTCAGCGCATGCTCAGTCCTTTCCCTTGCTTTTTGCCTCCTTATGCAAAATGGCGCCCAATTCAGCGCTAGTAGACTGATTGAGCTGTGAAATCCACCCTGTTCTTGCACTGCCCGTCTGTGATCTGCTGCTCTGTCTCTGCTCCTGGTCAAATCAAATGGATCAGCAGGATGGACGGTTCTTTGTCTGGGTTCACCTCCCAAGCGCCCAGGGAAAGTCCCTTCCCACCTGGTTGCTGGTGGAGTTCCGGCTGCTGGTGGAGTTCAGATCGCCATTACTGAATGCCGCTGGGGTATCAGTCACTGCAACACCACACCATTGTGTCCGCTGCTTTCCTGTGTCTGTCAGTCTCCAGGTACCCCTCTGCTGTTTTTCTGTCCTCTCTCATTTCCTGGAATGTGTCCTCTCTGCTTCATCCTGATTAAATATTTTCTGTCCGTTTAAACGTGTCCTTACCCTATTCCGCCATCTTGATTCTCCGATTGCTCCGCTTCTGATTCAGGCCCCTGTTCATGCAGCTGAGGAAGCGGGGAAGGCGGCTTGGAGGCCTGGTGGGACCTGGGTGGGGGTGTAGGCTCCCTGGCCCAGTCCCAGCTATTGTGGCCATTTAGGGGGTGAACCGATGAATGTGAGATCTGTCTCTAACTCTGCCTTTCAAATAAGCTCTCTAAAGATGGCAGCAAAGAAACCAGAAACTTAGAGACGATGAGAAGCGGAGACTACGACTTGCCAGGATCGCTCTGTGCCCCAGTAGAGAGCACTGGCTGGCTGAGATGAATGCTGGATCTGTCAACATTTAGTGATTAGTCCAGTCCACAAGATCTCACCTGGAGTAGTGTCTTCCGGAACCTTCCAGAAGGCACAGTGAGCCCTGGAACTTGGGGATAAGATTTGTCTAAAAGCTGTGAGGAACTGGGCCCGGCGCAGTAGCCTACTGGCTAAAGTCCGTTCCTTGAATGAACTGGCATCCCATACAGGCGCCAGTTCTAATCCCGGTAGTTCCACTTCCTATCCATCTCCCTGCTTGTGGCCTGGGAAAGCAGTTGAGGATGGTCCAAAGCTTTGGGACCTTGCACCAACATGGGAGACCCAGAAGAGGCTTCTGGCTCCTGGCTTTGGCTCGGCGCAGCTCCAGCCATTGTGGTCACTCACGGAGTGAATCATCAGACAGAAGATTTTCCTCTCTGTCTCTCCTCCTCTCTGTGTATCTGACTTTGCAACAAAAATAAATAAATCTTTAAAAGAAAAAAAAGCTGTGAGGAATTGTCTGGCTCTTGGGCAATTTTTTGACCTCCTATCGTGTTAGAGTGGAGGAGTCAGCTTCCTTCTTTTTTCTTCAGGCAGACAGATCCATTCCTTCCTGTGGCCCTCCCAGGGGCCCTCTGGGGTTCACAAAGGACAGCTGGCCTGGCTCTCAGCCTTGGGCCCATGACTGCCTGTTATTCATCCTCCCAGAGCCTGCCCCAGGGTTGAGGATGGGGTGCAGTCCTGCTCTGCTGTGGGTGGGGACATTCCTGTCCCCATGATGTGCCATCAGTTTGGAAAGTGAGTGGGTGACAAGCTGGGGAGGGAGGAAGGCAGGGACTGGGAAGGGAGGGAGGGAGGAGTGAGAGCGAAGGGGGAGATCCCCCCCCCCCCATGTTCTGTCTCCCGTGTGGCCTGAGAGGCTCTGCTTGTGGCTGGGCTGAAGCTTAGGCTTCAGGCTGGGCAGACGGGCAGGACAGGTGGCCTTGACATGTGACGCCTGCTGGGCTGCTACTCAGCCTTCACTTTTAGAACAGTTTCCAGAAGTTCTGGGAGGGGAGGGGGGGGGAGCAGTTAAATATAGCCTGGGGGCTTTGGCTCAAGAGCGGAGGGTCTGTCCTGGTCACTGCCTGCCATCACCCACGCTGTTCGCTGCCAGCAGCCCGGTGAGGCTCCTGTGCCTGCGCTGAACCTCTCTTGTGGCTCGTTGGACACAGCGTTGCCCCCACCACAGTTAGGCCTGACCCTGACTGCTCTTCCCCACTGTCCCTTTTGGTCCCAGATATCCGACCAGAGCTGTGAGTCTCCAGGGCATGGAGGTGGGGGAGGGGAAGGGAGGGGGAGAGAGAGGGGAGGGCTGGGGTTGTTGGAGAACTGGGAATGGGGGCTGTGGAGCACTAAAGGCTGGAGCTGAGGCCCAGGCCTTGGGTTAAAAGTCTCCTCCTGGGGAGGGGGCAGGGCAGTGAGTGGGAGAGTGAAACCTGGGTGTTGTTTAGGAACTGGGGTAGACGGGGCCTGGTGGACTTCGTTTGAGACCTGCAGTGGAAGCTGCCTTGGCTAAAACCAGAGCCCCTTCCAATATTGGACTTAACGCTGCTACTGCTGTTGTGCCGGATTTTTAGATCCCCAGAAAATCATTGAGTCTGAAGATGATGCTAAGAATAAAGGACAGTTTATTCAGGTTAACCTAGGTCTTCGGGCCACCTCCCCCAGGCCAGCAGGCTGGGCGGGGGAGGGGCAGCTGCAGCCGAGGCTGCTGCAGGATCAACAGGGTGGGGAAAAAGAGGAGGGCCGAGGTCGAGCAGCACAGGGTCCTTATACATTTCAGGACAATTCCATATAATCGTACAGTCTTGATTGGTCCGTTTTAACGGCTAATTTTCAAAAAGAGCAAGTTGGCAGGCTTCTATTGGTGGGTTTGAAGCAGGCAACTTTCAAAAGGCACAAACGGATGAGCTATAGGGCGGTGAATCTTACCTAACACCAGGGTCCTGCCGGGTGTCCCATAGACTACCAGGGCTGGAGTTCACACAGCCCCCAGCCAAGCAATGAAGGCAGGACTCACAAAACAGAAAACACCTAGGTTCTTCACTGCTAATACCTGTGCGACCACTGCTCCCCACCCTGCTATGGTGGAGCCCCGCTCTGAGGGTCTCCTTCCTCCCCACCAGGCCCGCCATGTCGGCCGCGCCCGGCCTCCTGCACCAGGAGCTGTCCTGCCCGCTGTGCCTGCAGCTGTTCGATGCGCCCGTGACGGCCGAGTGCGGACACAGCTTCTGCCGCTCGTGCCTGACCCGTGTGGCCGGGGAGCCGGCGGCTGACGGTACCGTGAACTGTCCCTGCTGCCAGGCGCCCACGCGGCCGCAGGCGCTCAGCACCAACCTGCAGCTGGCGCGCTTGGTGGAGGGACTGGCGCAGGTGCCACAGGGCCACTGCGAGGAGCACCTGGACCCACTGAGCATCTACTGCGAGCAGGACCGTGTGCTCGTGTGCGGCGTGTGCGCCTCGCTCGGGTCGCACCGTGGCCACCGCCTGCTGCCCGCTGCCGAGGCCCACTCGCGCCTCAAGGTGCGGACCCCTGGTCGTGGTGGGTCGGGGGGCGATTGTTGAGGTCCGAGGGGAGTGGAGTCTGGCTGGCGCGGCACGGTTCCATGTCTTGAGGATGGAAGCAGCCAGGGTTTGTCACCGCCCCGCGCTTGGTGGGCGCTGCGCAAAGCCGGATCCCCGGCCGAGTCGGCGCCCGCGGCCCACGCACGGTTTGGCGGACCAGCCCGGACCAGCCCGGACCAGCCCGGCCATCCCGTCCGGCCGGCTCGTCTGGGACGATAAAGGGCATTGAGCTCCAGGAGCCGCCCGATGGTTAGCAAGTGCTCGGCGGAGGCGCACGCAGCTCCGCAGCTGCCCAACCGGCGTGGGTCTGACACCTGCCAGAACAAAGCGAAAGAGAGGGAGGCGGGAGGCACAGACTGATTTTTCTGATTGGGGCCTGAAGCCCTGACCGCCCTGGGAGCCACACATAGGAGTACGTGCCCAGTGCCACCCACACAGTGGCAAATCGAGACACTGGCGAGTGCTTGTGGCTACCAGTGAGTGTGTGCCTACGCAGGCCCCAAGGTCTGTCCTGGGCTGCGGAAGAATAAAACGACAGATGCAGGGAAGTCTGGAGGCGCAGAGGGGTCCCCGCTGGGGAGAGGCCATCACCAACTCCTATGACTGGTGTCACCCCGGATCTCCCAGAGGGGGCAAACAGTGCCCTCGGGGCCCCGTCCAAGGCTCCAGGCCTCACCAGGGCTCCTCCGCATCCTGCCTCACTCAAGCAGGGCCCAGGCACAAGCCTATTCCACCCAGGGGCCCTCCAAGGGCCTGATGACCTTAGGACTCCCAGTGTTGGCCCCCTTTATCTGTCTTTATCTGCTTTTATTTGTGACTTGGAACAGTGCCTGTGGCCAAGGGGACTCTGGGGGCCAGGCTGGGCACAGTTCATCCTGCCCTGCCCTGGAGCTCAGGGAGAGGCTGACTGAAGGTCCCAGTGGGATCCCAGGAAGGTGCGCCCTACGTGGGGAGGACCTGCGGTCTCAATGTGGGAGGGAGGAGAAAGGAGGAAAGGAGGGGTAGGTGGAGGAGAAAGAAAGGAATGGATGAGAAAGAAGAAAAAAGGGCCTGGTGCAATAGAGCAGTGAATAAAACCCTCACCTTGCATGCGCCGGGATCCCATATGGTAGCTGGTTCTAATCCCAGCTCCCGGCTTGTGGCCTGGGACAGCAGTCGAGGTCGGCCCAAAGCCTTAGGACCCTGCACCCACGTGGGAGACCTGGAAGAACCTGGTTCCTGGCTTCGGACTGGCTCACCTCCAGCCATTACACTCACTTGGGGAGTGAACCATCAGATGGAAAATCTTCCTCTCTGTCTCTCCTCCTCTCTGTATATCTGCCTTTCCAATAAAAAGAAATAAATCTTTAAAAAAAGAAAGAAAGAGGAAGAAAGGAGGAGGAGAGTTGGGTCTGGAACCCGTGTATCTGACTCCAGGAGTCCAAGGGGATCTCTTGAGCAACGGGGACTCTCATGGCCCCGGGAACGGTGCCTCTTCCTCCCTCTTCCTGTCCTTGCAGTGGCAGGTGATCAGCCTGCCTGTGAGATCCATGGTGTTTAGTGGCCTTCCCCCCCCCCCCCCCGACCATGAACCATTCTGGAAGCTGAGGTACAGGCTGCTGCCCACAGCTTCAGCTTGAACTTCTGAGTTCCCGGGGCCAACTTTTCCAGTGTCTCCAGGATGGCACTCCGCTTCTTCCCCATGGCTTGGCTCCTGCCACCCCTACATCTCCAGGGGCCCCCACCCCAACCCTGGAGCCACCAGCCTGCCATGGTCAATGGCAGGGGGTGCCAGCCTCCTGCTGGCAGGTGGTGGAGCCATTATGTGAGGAGTGAACTGAGGTAGGGAAGTTTTTTTTTAAAAAGTTATTATCATTTTATGATATAGTTCCATAGGCCTTTGGATTTCCCTTGCCCCTAACCCAATTCCCCCCCCCTGAGTTCCCCTATATTATTATTATTATAATATTGTTCTTCATAAACAGTCATATGTCCATCATTACGGGCATGGACAATGGCAGAGAGTCCAGCATCCTATTGTCAAGATACAGTTAATGGTTTCATTGGGAGTCCATCTTTGTCTGGAAGTAGAGATGAATACTGCTTTTATCCTCATATCTGGATATGATAGTCTCCATTACACAGTTATCATACGTCCCCTTAAGTGAAAAGCCACAATACAAAATCAACATCAGGAAGAAAAATAGAAGTTTACGCCATGAAGGTCTCAAGAGGTTTTGACAACTCAGCAGTCCTGTACTGTTGTCGATCCCACCACTCCAATCGTGATGAAATCTCTCCAGAATCCACTGGCTGCCATGGTCCAACTTAGAGTGTCTGCCTTCCCAGATATTCACTGCCAACGCTTGGTTGGAGTAGTTGATCAATTTGTTTTGTCCTCTGTTGGGGTAGGGGATTAACGAAGTAGGACTGGAAACTGATTCCAGGGCCAGGCACTTCCCCTGAAGAACCATAAGGGGCTCCCCTAGGCCTGCATTTGAGGAACCACAAACTCAAAGGTCTCAGTTAGGATCCAGTCCACAGGAAGGTTTGGCTGATGGGTGCAGGGGCCCCTGCATTGCCTGTCTCCAGCACCCAGGAGCACGCTGGGAGCCTGCCTGGGCTCAGGCTGAGGCTGGAGCCCTGTTTTTTTGTTGTTGTTTTGTTTTGTTTTTTAAGATTTATTTATTTATTTATTTATTTATTTATTTATTTATTTATTTATTTTAAAGTCAGATTTACAAAAAGAAGGAGAGACAGAGAAAGATCTTCCATCCACTGGCTCACTCCCCAAGTGGCTACAATGGCCAGAGCTGAGCCGATCTGAAGCCAGGAGCCAGGAGCCAGGAGCCTCGTCTGGGTCTCCCATGCAGGTGCAGGGTTCCACAAGCAGGGAGCTAGATGGGAAGTAGAGCAGCTGAGACATGAACCGGTGCCCATATGAGATCCTGGAGCATGCACGGAAGAGGACTTTAGACAGCAGGCTACTGCATGGGCCCTGGAGCCTTGGTTTTGCATAAGACTTGGGAAGGTGGCATTTTTCTTTTCTTTTTTGAAAGATTTAAATTTTATTTCACAGTCAGATATACAGAGAGGAGGAGAGACAGAGAAGAATATCTTCTGTCCAATGATTTACTCCCCAAGCAACCGTAACAGCTGGAGCTGAGCCAAACCAAAGCCAGGATCCAGGAACTCTTCTCGGTCTCCCATACGGGTGCAGGGTCCCAAGGTTTTGGGCCGTCCTCCCAGGCCACAAGCAGGGAGCTGGATGGAAGCAGGGTTGCTAGGAGTAGAACCGGCACCCATATGGAATCCCAGCACGTTCAAGGCGAGGACTTTAGCCACTGGGCCATGGTGCCACTCTTGGAGGTGGCATTTCTTCCATCCAACATCCTTCCTTCACTCCTATACATCTGCTGTGTGTGCAGCTGTGTGAGATGTTTGGGAAAGCAGGTGCACACAGTGTGAGTCTTCTTAAGACCTGGGCTGACTGCTGAGCAGCAGTGACCAAAACAAGCAAGGGCCATGGATGTGTTCAGTCAGATACTGGGAAGGGAAAGCACCGCTAACCATAAAACCAGTCCTGACTAAGTCCCGTAGTGGGGTGGGTGGGCTAGTTGGTTTGGGAATGGGCAGATGGCTGGAGGAGCTGGCACCAAGGCAGAGCTGAGTGGGGGCAGAGGCGTGGCTTTGGGGTGGGGTCTCTCCATCACTTTTGTATGTCCCACTCCCAGTCGCAGCTCCCCCAGCAGAAGCTGCAGCTACAGGAGGCATGCATGCGTAAGGAGAAGAGCGTGGCCACGCTGGAACACCAGCTCGCAGAGGTGGAGGTAAGGGGCTTGGAGGGGCAGATCCCAAGGTGCAGGGTTCCCATCGCCCCTTCCTGTCACCCTAAGCCAAGTGCGTTTCCCCGTTTTCCCTCTCTGCCTAGGAGACAGTGCGGCAGTTCCGGGGAGCCGTGGGGGAGCAGCTAGGCAAGATGCGGCTGTTTCTGGCAGCCCTGGAGAGCTCACTGGAGCGTGAGGCAGAGCGTGTGCGGGCTGAGGCTGGCCTGGCCTTGCGGCGGGAGCTGGGTGGCCTAAACTCATACCTGGAGCAGCTGCGGCAGATGGAGAAGGTGCTGGAGGAGGTGGCTGACAAGCCACAGACTGAGTTCCTCATGGTGAGTGAGTGATGGCCTGGCCTCCCGGCACCTCACCACGGTTCAGGCCCCTTGAGGCAGGGGGGCCTCATCCCAATGTCACATGGGGGCCCTGCCACCCAGACACATGGCCATGAGCTCAGGCCTCAGAGTGTTGTGCTATTTTGGTTTGGTCACTGGCCAAGGCAAGCACCAGCAGGCACTGCTCCTGTCAGATATGGAAGGAGCCTGTGTTTGTCAGGACAACCTTCTAACAGGAAAGCAAAGGCAAAGTGCTAACCTTGACTTTGGGATGTCTGATCATCCACCCCATCAGAAGTCTTGAGGGGTCCCTCATCTTCCTTCTCTCTCTCTCTCTCTCTCTGCAGAAATACTGCCTGGTGACCAGCAGGTAAGAGCAACTGGCCCTGTCCTTTTGCACCACCTGCCCCAGTCTCCTACCCCAGCTGGTACACCCTTGGGGGCTCACACATAGCCTGCCACCATATCCCTACACTTAACCATCACTGTAGAAATGAGGTAGACCTGGGCTCTACCCCCTGGGACCTCCAAGACTGGCACTGTGAGGCTGATGTGGGCAGGGATGAGGGCATAATTGTGTGTCTGGTGCTGCTGGGGAGGGAAGGGAAGCAAGGGGAGGCTGCCTGGAGCAGTGGGCATTTGAACTAGACCATGGAGGAATGGCCAAGAAGGAGTCAGGGCGGAATCAGCGAGTGCTAAGACAGGCAAGTGGGTGAGAAGAAGTTGGGCCTTGCAGAAGGGATTCATGCAATTTCTTCTTCTTGATTAGGGTGCTAATTAAATATATCCATTTGATATTTGAGAGACACAGAAGCAGGGAGAGAAGCTCCTATTTCTAAGAAGAGGACTTTGGTGACCGCCTCCTCCATCTGACCAGAGCTGTCCCATCTTCCCAAACATAAAACCCTAATGTGATGCAGGCACATCCCAAACTGAGCCCCTCATCCTCCCATCTTGGTGTGTGTGGGGGTCCTTCCTCCCTGTTCACAGACACCTCCCTCCCATCCCCACCCTCAGACTACAAAAGACCATGGCGGAGTCACCCCTGCCTGCCCGACTGGACATCCAGCTGCCTGTCATTTCAGATGACTTCAAGTTCCAGGTGTGGAGGAAGATGTTCCGAGCTCTGATGCCAGGTACTGGGAGGGGCTGGCTTGCGGGGGGCTGTGTGTCCTTGCCTGCATGAGGCCCCCTGATCTCAGTTGGGAAGGATGAAGGTTCCACTGCTTGTTTTCCCTGGTGACCCCCTTACTCTATGCTGGGAAGGGTCTCTGAGCCTGTGCAGTAGGGGACAGAGTCCCCTCAGCAGGTGGGGGACAAGGGCCTGGATCTGAGCTGCTGACCCGTTGTGTGACCCCTGGTCAAGTCCTGCCCTTCTTGTTCTGTCCACAACCCTCCTGGTCCTCCATTTGTACCCAAAAGCTCAGAGAGGAGTGGGTACTAAGCAGCCAGGGGGCTCACCCTGGGATGCTCTTGAGACCCCTGGCAGGGGGGAGCGGTTGGTTGGGGGAGGAGCTCTTGGAAGGCGCAGGCCCTGACTTTGTGTCCTTGGCAGAATTGGAGGAGCTGACTTTTGACCAAAGCTCAGCGCACCCGAGCTTAGTGGTGTCACCCTCTGGTCGCCGGGTGGAGTGCTCGGAGCAGAAGGCACCGCCTGCCGGGGAGGACCCACGCCAGTTCGACAAGGCGGTGGCCGTCGTGGCGCAGCAGCTGCTGGCGGATGGCGAGCACTATTGGGAGGTGGAGGTGGGCGACAAGCCGCGCTGGGCACTGGGCGTGATGGCAGCCGAGGCCAGCCGCCGGGGCCGCCTGCACGCCGTGCCCTCGCAGGGTCTGTGGCTGCTGGGGCTGCGCGACGGCAAGACCCTGGAGGCGCACGTGGAGGCCAAGGAACCGCGCGCGCTGCGCGCCCAGGAGCGGCGGCCCACGCGTCTAGGCCTCTACCTTAGCTTCGCCGATGGCGTCCTCGCCTTCTACGACGCCAGCAACGCCGACGCACTCGAGCTGCTCTTTGCCTTCCACGAGCGCCTGCCGGGGCCCGTGTACCCCTTCTTCGATGTGTGCTGGCATGACAAGGGCAAGAATGCGCAGCCGCTGCTGCTCGTGGGGCGCGAGGGCCAGGAAGCCTGAGGGAAGAGGGCAGTGCCCAGGACGGGGTTGGATCCCGGGTGGGGTATGGGGAGGTTGGCTGGGGCTGAACACAGAGCCCGAGGGGGCTTGGGGACAGTTCTGAGAAGGGTAGGTGTTGGTATGGGGCAGGAGACAGGCTGGGGAGAGTGTTGGGGTCATTTGGTAGGAAAGAGAGGTCAAGGTCAGGGATGGAGGAAGCATAAGGGTTCCAGAAGCTCAAGGTGAGGGACGTAGGGAGAAGAAACCAGGTTTGGGAAGGATTGAGGATGATAATTCAACCTCACCTTCCCCTCTCCTCCCTCTTCCCCCTTTGAGGCTTGGGGCCAGAGTCCAGGCCGGTGCTTCAAAAGGTTTCCCCCTTTATAGTTCTCCAACCTGAGCATTTCAGTTCCAGTTACCGGCACAGTTTGTGAACATTGGCACCTAGTGTGTTTCCAGGTGCCTGGAAGGCCACTGGCACAAGCAGGGCCGCGCTGGGGCATCCACTGACTGCTCTCTGCCCCTCCTCTCTTCCCCTCGCTGCTTAGGCCGACAGGGCTGTGGATGGAGATGCAGAGCCACTCGCCCACCTTTGCCTCTGGACTGTTTGCCACGGGTTCTTGGAGGTTAGGAAGTCCCCAACTTTCCAGCCAAGAGCAGGTACCTGAGGCTAACTGTGCTTTGGACCCTGCTGCTGTGGCAGGTGGAGGGCACCCCCGCAGCCCCCAGGACACTGTGTTCTGTTTTCACTTGAGACCCAAGTGTTGAACCCTGGAGGCACCACTGAAGAGTCCTCCTTCCTTGCAGGAGAAACCTTAAGGGACTCAGGGGGTGACAATGGGGGCTGCTAACCTTCCCACCTGCGGGAGGTTGATGCCTGGTGCTGGGGCTGCTGCTGAGGCCAGCATGTGGAAGCACTGGGGATCCCCTACTAGCTGGTATCAGTGTGGGATTTTTCTGGGGAGGGGGGGATGTTTCACCTGGGCTTAACCAAGTGAAAGAAAGTTGGGGACTGGAAGGACCTGAAGACCCAGCTAAGGAGTGAAGGCCCCTGAGAGAACCCCCTGTTAGAGCAGCTTCATCGTAGAATCTTCTGTGTGCTAGGAAATCAAGTGTTACATGAGAATAGATGGTGATCAATCATCGTGAATAAAAATGATTGTATTTGGACTCCTTCCTCTTTAAGTCTGCCTTGGTGGGGTAAATGCCCAGTTGCCAGGGGTGGCCTCTTTCTTGTCCCTTTAACTTTCAGTCTTGACCAAACTGACTCGCAGCCGCCAGCCCCGTTCCGCAACATCCTGAAGCTCTACAGAGGGAGGCCTTGGGGTTTGGGCTTGGCCTGCCAGCGCCTGTGCGCTCCGGCCTCTTCATCCTGACTTGCGGCTCCTGCGGTCACACAGCTCTGCCTGCCTGGGCCCTCTGCCTCCCTCCTATCCTTCAGGTTTTCTCCTCCCCTAACCACTTTTCTTTTGCCCTTCTAGGCCTCACAAGAGAGCCGGTGGTTGCTCTCTGCTCTAGACCGGCAGGCACGTAATGTTCATCTTTGTTACAGACCTGTCCACACCTGGCATGTAGGTCATGGGCGCTAGAAGCAGGTGGCAGAGTCCCAGGAGCCCCAGGAAGTTGGTATGCTGGAGCTGCAGGTGCTGAGATAGGAGTCAGGGAACAAGGCTTTTTTTTTTTTCCTTTGCTTTTAAAATTTATTATTAACTGTGGGTTTCGCTATGACTCCTCTGACCCCAGAGGTGCAACAATCACTTCGAATACAGTGCAGCTCCTGGAGAAGATAGAATCCCCAGAGAAACTACATCAAAGAGCTGAAAAACCCGATATGCTGTTAATATACTTTTTATTCCATGATAGGTCAGGAGGGCAAAGAAATCTTCCACCTTCTTAGAGTGTGAGAAGAAGACATTAAGTATAATCTATCAAGATAGTAACGGGTGACTTATAAATAACAGATTCTAAACCACATTAGATATTAGCAAAATATAGAGACATACAATAGGACATAAGAGTGATCCTGACAGCCTCTTAACAGGAAGTCATGTGCACAGAGCAGAAGGGGATCCCAGAGCGGAACAAGAGGATAAAAAGAGACCTATATCCCAGTCCCGGAGACAACCGGAAGCCTCCCAAGTGCTTTTGCCACAGAAGCAGTGGATACGTCATCAAGGATTGCCAGTATGGGCACCAAGGACCATATCCTGACTACCAAGGAGATCACAGGGAATTTGAATGCCCTCGCAGGCTGAGAACTCCGAGGTCAGCCAGTTCCTATCGGATCGCCCGTGTGGGATTGGAGTAACCCAGAGCCCTCCACATAGGGTCTGATGACATTGGAACAACAGATAGGAGCCCTGGGAGGTCCTCAGAGACAGAAGAATTGTAAATTTCCTTCTGGACTCAGGAGAGGAGCTTTCTCTGGTCCTTAGTTCCAACCTTGGCTCCCCATACCCTCTGACAATGACCATCAGGGTTACTCAGGAGTTCCATAATTAGCTCAAATAGGACACACAGAGAGACTAATATAGAAAGATTTGAACACATAGGAGGGAGTCAGCTGGCCTATAATTGCTCAGCCTGTACCTTACCGGTCAGGCTCCCGTCTTGGCATCTCCTAGAACCCACTAGGTAGGAAGCAGGGTTGAGTTATTCTGCACTAGCCAGGATGTTGGAGATTTCTCTGTGCACCCGCCTAAGACATTTCAACTCCTCAATTGTTAATATGTGACTTGTTAGAAATATAAATCAGTTTTGATTATCCTAAAATGCATGAAGTTCTGTACAAACTTGCTTGAATACTGTGCACTGCTAAATACAAATATAATAATAAAAGAGAAAATAATAACACTCACTAAAACCAAAGGCAAATATGAAGATCACCTCAGTAAAATATCAACGGAAGACGAAATTAAACAATGAACAACCCTAAAACGACAGGGCCAAAATACCACCTATTCATATTAACCCTGAACGTAAATGGCTTAAACTCATCAGTCCAATGGCATAAATTAGTGTCTGGATCAAAAATACAAAATCCGTTTATCTGTTGCCTACAGGAAACATATTGAACCAACTAAGATCAACAGAATCTGTATCTCATGGATTTTGATGTTTTTGTTTTCATTTTCATTTCTTCAAAGCAGTTTTTTTTTTCATTAAATACTACAATGAGTCATAAGTCATACCATGTTTTTCTTTTTTTAAGATTTATTTATTTTTATTACAAAGTCAGATATACAGAGAGGAGGAGAGACGGAGAGGAAGATCTTCCGTCCAATGATTCACTCCCCAAGTGAGTGCAACGGTCGGTGCTATGCCAATCTGGAGCCAGGAGCTCCTCCAGGTCTCCCACATGTGTGCAGGGTCCCAAGGATTTGGACTGACATCAACTGCTTTTCCAGGCCACAAGCAGGGAGCCGGATGGGAAACGGGGCCGCCGGGATATGAACCAGCACCTGTTTGAGATTCTAGCGCATGCAAGTCAAGGACTTAAGCTGCTAGGCTACTGTGCCAAGCCTAATTTGTCTCTCTCTCCTTCCTTGCTGAACTTTGCCTTTCAAATAAAGACAAATAAAAAAACAAAAACCACCCGCTTTCCATTTTGGAAGGACTTATTCTGATTTCTTTCTTTCCTGTGTCATGTTCCGCCTTCTCTATTGTTAGTAGCTGTGTTTCAGCTCTATTGCTAGTAACTGTGTTTCAGGGCCTCACTATTGCAGTCCAGCTGTCTCCACCCCCTTTGGGTGGGGTCCAGCCCTCTCAGCTGTCCCACCCTGGCACGCTGTTTCAGCTCTTGCCTCTCCCGCCTGCGAGGCCCTGGTGCCTCCAAGCAGGGGCTCTGTGGTGTCCCAGGCTGGGGCTGAGTCACACTGACAGTGCATTTCAACGTCATCCTTCCGATGCATGCTTATTTTGCTCTCATCTGAACTTGCGCACAGCACCTCTGTGGCCGACCTTGAACTCATGGGGAGCGGGAACAGTTTTCTCACTCTTGAGGGTCCTTGTTCCCTCCTTGGTTGTTTACGGTAGCTGAGGCAAAGATTTGGGTTCAAGTAGTTTTTTGGGGGGAGGTTCAGCACATTTGGGCCATGCCAGGGACGGGGACAGCCAGTGAAGGTGTACTGTGAAGGCAGCTGGGCAGTGATGAAGATCACAGGCCTTGAAATGACATCCACCCGGGTGTGAGAGAGAGAGCTTGGGAATTCCCATGAAAGCACTTGAAAAAGGCGTGTGGTCCAGCTGGTTATCACCACCTGCAGTGCTGACACATCAGAGTGCCTGAGTCGTAACTGAACCACTTCCCATCCGGCTCCCTGCTTGTGGCCTGGGAAAGTATTTGAGGACAACCCAAAGCTTTGCGTCCCTGCACCCACATGGGTGCTTGTGGCTTGGGATCAGCTCAGCTCTGGCCATTGCAACCATTTGGGGGGGAATGAAACAGAGAATAGAAGATCTCTCTGTTTCTTCCTCTTTGTCACTCCGCCTTTCAACAATTATTTCTTTTTAAAAAGATGTTTATTGGGTCTGACGTGATGGCTCAATTTGTTAATCCTCCCCTTACATGTGCTGGAATTCCATATGGACACCTGTTCCTGTCCCGGCTGTTTCGCTTCCCATCCAGCTCTCTTTTTGTGGCCTGGGAAAGCTGTAGAGGACGGCCCAGATCCTTGGGATCCTCCACCTGTGTGGGAGACCTGGAAGAAGCTCCTGGCTCCTGGCTTTAGATTGGTTTAGCTCTGGCTGTGTGGACATTTGGGGGAGTGAACCAGTAGATGGAAGATTTTTCTTGCAGTCTCTCCTTCTCTCTGCAAACCTGTCTTTCCAATTAAAATAAAACTTTTTAAAGTGATTGTGAGCTGCTTCTGGCTGTGAGTTGGATGCTCGCTGCTCTGCGGTGTTGGCTTGCTGGTCTGCAGGGAGAGCAGCTATCCAGCAGAGGGGCGAGGTGGGGAGAGAAGGCGCCAGGGTGCTTTGTTTCTAGATTCCCAGTGGCTGACATTGCTGCAATACACATTCTTTAAAGAACAAAT